GGCAACATGTGAAAATAAAAAAAAGACACGAGAAAACATTACTTTATAAACCTTAAGACGTAATAAAAAATATATATTTTGTGTATGAAAGCATTGTAATGTTTACTGATAATCTTCCAAACTTCGTTAACATTCGCTCACTAATTTAAAAGTTATAGCATGAAACTATAACAAGCACAAAATGGTTATGAGGTCAGTCCTAAGGACCTAGCCCGTGCTGAAAGAGTTAACTGGTTTATAGTTTAATTTTTAAGTTTCATTCCTTTGTTATTCAAGAAAAATTTAGTTAAGTCGTGGTTAATCATCCTTATAAGATCATCAGCACATACAAAATACATAAAGAACTTTATAACATTAATACTTTTGAGAAAATTACTTTCGAATGAATATTGCTAATAACATCAGAAATGAATAATTAAGAGAAAGTTGGAGTTATCAAACAACTTATCTATGATGTGCAGAAAAAACCCAATGTCAGTAATATTACCCTACACTGGCAGACGTGGTATTAGTGAAGACATAACTGTGCAAGCCTTTTCATAGAACTTAAGTGCTGATAGATTTGCATATGATTTTTAAAACAGAATGTAGACTACAAATTTTTTTTAGATTTAAGGACAGAATTTCATCTTTAATAACACCTAAAATAATAAATTAAATGTACTAGATGTAATTCTAGGTATACCAGATGTAACATGTGAACAAGAACATGCAAATCTACGAGTGAACAAGACTACTATAAAAGATTCTGACATAGTAATACATTCATCAATGTTCAAAATTCCAACCAAATGCCATATACTTAGACCTCAAATGGATGAAACTTATTAAGCAATTGGTTTACTGGTAAAATATAACTTTTCATCTTCTCAATATGAGTTAACAAAAGGCATGAAAATGAAATGATACAACATAAAAAAAAAAACCATTAAATGGCCTGTAGATTCTTTATAATTAGTATTTTCTACATGAATGGCATATTATGTGACATCAGCTGCACAGCCAGGTCAGAGATCCCTGAAGTTCAGGCAAAGACAGCATCAAGTAAAAAAAGCTAACTAAAAGGTAGGCCAATCAATTAGCAACACCTACTACTCTTAACTGGAGAAAGGAATTCATTGTCACAACTAAAAATCCAGAGCACAGGAGACAAAATAATTTGGTGGATTTGATTAGGAAATATTGCTTAGCATCTTTTTAATACATTAATGGCAACTAAAACCAGCACTAAAATTTGTAACTTTTTAAAGGCATCCACTAATGAAAAAAAAGAGGTAAATGGTATGTTTTTATTCTAATATCACTTTTATTCAGCTTCAAACCCTAATATTTAATTGTACCACACATGGCATTTCATGAACAAAATAGTTCCTAGTGTATAAAGTTAAACTTTAAAATTGCAAGAAATACCAAACACCTCACCTGTCACAAAATAATGCAACAATCAATTAACCAGAGAAAGAAGTGAACTGAAGATATTGCAACTGAACAAGATTGCCCAATCATTTTTCAAATGAATCTAGTATATTTCTTTTTTTCACTCATCACTCTCTTCACAACATGGTCTCCTTGACTTTTTGTAGAAGAAAATGTCTTGTGGCTTTTCAACAGTAATTATCCTTCTTGCCACAGGCATCCTTTACTGTGCATGTCAAAACGTTTTTGGTGAATTACATTCGAAATTTAATTAAACTACTTTTTGTTTGTTTATGTTATACCAATTAGTATAGTATAAAATAGTAGCTAATAATCCATATTTTAATAGTATACAAGTTTTATCTTCTTAATTTTATAAAACAATATTAAAAAAAGATACTGAATTTCCCCTAGTGTGACAAATGGGAAATTTTTTCTCTAGGCATCCCCTCTTCTCTAATTTATTTACCACCCCTCTAAGAAGTATGAAATTTAACAAATTACTTAATATATCATTGTCATCACTCAGATAAAGCATAATTTTCATAGCGTTCAATTTAGTTTGGTTACAGAGCCAACAAATAGAAAATCAGATCCCTTTTGCCACACCCACCTGTCACATCCGCTCTTTCAGGATTTGTCAATAGTTCTTTCTTAGGTTTAATACTAATTATTTTTAACCAATACAAGGCCAAGGTTTTCATGTATTAAATAATGTATTATATTACATTTTTTTCTGTACAAGCTACCTTCCCACAAGAAACACATGAGACTAGTTTAGATGAATTAGTAATGGGTCACATAGTTAGAAAACCAGAAAAATGAGATAGTTATGGAACATTGCCTGCTTTTTGCATGTTATTTGGTGCATTATATAATTTATTAAATATTATTTTGTGCACTACTACCATTAGTATATAAAAAGGTAGGGTTAAGTTTTGTTGACAGCAAAAGAAAAAGTGGCCCAGGTAAGTACATTATTTCTTGTTTTTCATGTGTATTCTTTAATTATTATTATAAAAGTAACTAAAATGTAAAAAATTTAGATTATGTAAAATAAATAATAATAATATAATTAAAAATTTTCCTGGAGTAGCTTGTGGGTAATGCAATTCAATAGCATAACATGAGCCACACATTGCCCAAGTGATTTACACAATATAAGATATTATAATGGCACAAATAATACTAGTAGTAGTAGTAGTTAGACACAGTTCAAAGGACAATAAAACAATAAAAGTTAGTATAAATAGATGTATACTAATACAAGTTTAAAGCTACTTATGATAAACAAATGTAGTTTCATGTTACAATTTGAAGTCATTTCAGAAAGAAAAAAGGATAATCTAGATTTATTAAAATTATTTTTTGGTGGTTACGAGGTTGGTCAAATTGAACAACCTTGTATAGAGTTAGCAAAGAGAAAATAACAGATAAAATATAAAGTTTTACTAAAAAAAAATGTTTGATTTGTATGTATTTAGGAGGTTTTAGAGATTATGTAAATGACATTTGAGATTTTTGAGATGACAAAAAGTATTTCTAATCTTAACATGAAAATCATTTTGCACTCAGACTGGTAAAAAATGACTATGTTCATGGACAACTTTTTAGTAAAAATACATCATTAAAAAAAAACTGATTGTTTGGGTACAAACGACAGTCTGCCAAACTTTATGAAGATATACATACGGTATTAAAAGTTTTAGTATTAAAATTATAAACAAGTAAAAATGGTCATGTGGTCAGTCCTTGGGACCAAGCCCATACTGAGAGAGAGTTTGTATCCTCCTCAATGCTAAACATGCAATGCATGTACTGTACGTATGTAGTCTACTTGGCCAGGCTGCGGGTGTCAAATGGACGCATTGCAAACATTATGAACAGACTTCTAGTTTACATGTATGCAATATGCACATGACAAAATGTTAAAATACTGTAAGTGCCATTTAGTGGGAATTTCCAAGAAATGAATATCAACTTCGGCTTTGGTACATCAAACTGAAACATATGGCACTTTCACTGTGTTGTTGGAGGTCTCAAAAACAACATGCAAGAGAAAGGAATGATTTGCACATTATGCTAAGCAAAGACAAAAGTGATCCGCAACTAGGGTTGTTTTGATTTGTGAACCCAGATATTGTCCTCTGAGAGAATGTTCAGCAACATATTAGGGCTCAAACCTTGACATTTTACTCTACATCCCAGTAACAGTAACCAATAATAGATTATAATTCCAGTTTAAAGGGCTCAAACCACTGTATTATCTGTTGTAAGTTACTTTATACGAAAAACAAACCCTTGAAGGAACTAATAAAAAAACTGCTGAACATCACAGGAAATATTTCCTGAAGTAGATTTTTATCTGATTAGATTAAAATCATTCATTATTTATATTTCTCAGAATATTTCTAGGTACAAAATGATGTGGCAGTCTAGATTTTACATAAATAAGCCAATATATGAAGATCAAAACTGTAAAGTTACAGTTTTCATTAAACACTGAACTTGAAAGCCCATTCTAGCTAACTGCAGTACCTTAAAAATGTGAAAGATTTGGAAAATACAGTTGACTTTAGTAGTGCAATAATAATATTAACAGCTATCAAATCCTGTTACCCAATATTACCTTATTGTAATTTTGGTGAACTTTCTTTGTTCTTTTAAAAATTTATAATTTTTTAACTATTCTAATTAATATGATAATGCATAATACTTACTGCTATAAAAGAATATAAAAGAAAACTACTCTTAAAACCTTTTATTTTATAACACTTGTGAAAGTATATGAGCAATATTTGATAACCCCATTTTTTTTAGTTACCTTTTACTGATTAACTTTATATTATCCAGTTTTAATATATGCTTCTACAATTTGTTTTACCCTACGTGAGTGTTTCACATATAAAAAAAAGTTAGTAGGTTCATTTCAAACACATAATCTTGTGTTTATTTTTCTACTGCATGCATAAAGACAACAAATGCAGTCAATAATTATGACCTTTTAGAGAAATTATTTTTGCAGTTAATTAATGTGTTTTTTTAACAGTAATGTAAAATATCTTTTCTAAATGCACTTCTGTATTTCACTACTATAGTGTTACTTCAAATACATTACATATCAGTGTAAAGCAAGAAAATCTTAACAGAAGCAAATCTATATTTCTATTCATCAAAAGGATATCAGCTTGAAGGTCGTAAGTCAAGAAACCAAGGTCATTCTTCTCACGAGAAGCACTGTAGTCTGGCACATTTTTCCTGGAAGCAATGAAAATATAGAATATGTATACACAAGTTAACAAATAAGTATATTTCAATTAACTTCTTAAATACTAGAAAGAAAAAGATAAACAAAACTGAATTTTTAATGAGATTAAAAAAAGTTCTTTCAGTATAAAATCATAATGTTGCATTAGCAGTTATAATTTCCTAACACAATTTTAATAAAAGAAAGCCTGAAATAATGGCATATTCAGTTAAAAGAAGTTGGTGAAAGTGACATAACACTAGATTAATTTTTGTCAAATACAACCTAACTAAAAATTAGAACTGTGCAATTTGTGGAATTTGCTAATCTATTAGGCATCAGGCTCATTAACTGATAGACTAATCTTAATATTTTCAGCCTATTTTACGTCTTTTAAAGACATTTTCAATTTACCGTTCAGTTAATGATAGCCATCTTTAATTACAATAATTTAAGATTAAGTTACTTTTTAATCCTAAACTACTGTACATGAAAATGCATCATACATGCAATGTAACAAGTTTAAAATATGATTAATAGCATTCTATGGGTTTCTCCCTACAAGACTATTGTACTAACATTACTGAATTTTTGTTGATGGAAATAAACATTACTTCATGTCATTTTCAAACAACAAATTAAAAAAAAAATTTAAACTTTGATACCCCAAAAAAACTCGCAAATAAAAGGTTGTTATAGACTCCAGCTGTAGACTTAATGTGAAAAAAGCTTTTATAGTAATTTAATAGCCCAATCATTTAAAATAACTGACAATTAATATTTCTTTTTGATATACTATATGGTCATGTAAGGATGTTTGGCTGTTTTTATCAACTTATGAAAAAATTGGAGGGTCCAAACCCCCTCCTCTACATCCTACACCTACTTATTCAATGTTAAAGAAATAGATTACAGTTACACAATTATAAATTAGGAACAGAATACAATGCCAAAAACAATAAATTTACACTTTATATAACCCTCAAAAGCCCAGGAGTTAGCAGTGGGTGTTTCCAGCCAGTTGCTTTCCCTTTAGTTAGCAGCTCAGACTTAGTGATCACAGTGGCACATGCATTAGTAGCCCTAACAAAGACATGTTATGCAAATTTGGTGGCAATGGGAATCAACCCCAAGGGCCTCGAATCTGAAAGTACTTCCTCTCCAAATCTGCAGTCCATGCTGGCCCAAAACTGAACAAACCTAAAGGGAGTCTGGCTGTGTTTGTATGATTTATAGTGAATTTAGTTTGATTATCTAATAAAGAATGAAATTCAAATATTCCTTAGTTAAGTGTTAAGGTTAAAAATTGAAATAAAATTCTGAAGTATGCAAGTGGTCATTTAATTCTTTACTATATGAATTAACATAATTAATCTACCACCATATCAAACTGAAAGAAATAAAAATATAAAATTCAGTTAATCTCAATGTACTCTTTCAATACAAACTATACTAAGCATTCATTAGAAAATGTTTCAATGAAAAGATTAGTTATCCTTAATACAATGATTATCTGTATTAATTCTATCAATACTGTGAATTTTATTCATGATGTATGGAAAACATCAGTTTGAAAATATAACCCAACTGCTTTCACAAGGTTATTTCTCTTTATCAGAGGGATTTAGATGAAGTCATCAGTATTTCCAATTTTATGTGGAGAATTCTCAGTTTCTAAATATTAAGTCTAATGGGACCTTAGTAAAAGTTGTGAGCACCCCGTTCAGAGAGGAGCTAATAGGATGATTCCTGGAGTGGAAGGGTTATCTTACAGGAATAGATTAAGATATCATATTTTCTCTTAAGAAAAGAAGGGTAAGAAGTGATCTTATTTAAGTTTACAAAGATTATCCATGGGACTGATAGGATAAAAGCTTCTGATTTCTTTTTGCTATATTCTAAAGATAAGATGAAATACGAGTAAAATACAGGCTAAGCTCCAATTATATTGCTTTCTGACAGGGTGACTTACTTGTACTAAATGTAGTAAGTAATGTGAAATAACCATTTTATATTCCACTTCAGAGTGTAATGAATAAAATTTTTCACTTTATTATGCACATATTTTTTAATAATGCCATGTAGTACTCTCAGAAAGTCAGTGGAATTGATGAATGATAAATTTCATATGATCTGTTAAACCATGGCTTATGGCAAATGTCTACACAAATCATGGGATAATTTTATTGCATTACTCTTAATAGCAGGATCCAGAGAAACATAGTTCCCCACCACAGAAATATGTGGATGCGAATATACAAGTCTCCCATAAAAAATACTAATTATTGTACACCAAGTAACAAGTGGAAAACATCTACAGTACTAACACCCACTTAATTTGCATAATTTATTTCAAAGCACCCATACTCCCACTAGTTGTAAATCAACTTTAATAACATCGCGATGATCGCTGAACCCATCCTCCACCATTTGGGAGTGACTAGCGAACTAAAGCTACAACAAAAAACAGAGTGTCAGTTCAAACTGGCTGCACCAATAAGGATCAGTGATACATCATATGGTAGCTCTCTTCATGCTCTACTTTGATCAGGGTGGTTTCATTGGATCCAAAAGAATATACTATTTGAAAATACATAAACTTTTAAAACCATTTAAAATTAATTTTAGCCATTGAACTTTTAGTAACAAAGCCATACAATAAACTTTATGGTGCAGATTACGTGATGCATAAACCGATACATATATACATGTCTGCCCAAACCAACAGCATTTCGAAAAATAATGAATGGGAAATTTAAATAGACTACACGTTGGCTTGGCAACAAATTACTTTACAATATATAATTCAGCATAAACAGACAATATGATGTCCTGACAACAGTTAGCTATATGTAATATCATTGGGTGTGGCTAGAGTGAAAGAACATGTACTACAATAGTTTAAGAAATAAAAAAAAAACTCCAGATACACTGGTAATGAAATCTAGGAAAACTTTAATTTTAAACAATCTAATTTGCTACAATTGTCTATGATAAAAGTAGTATTAATGATGTATCAATTACATCATGATATCACGTAGAATGGGTAGAGGTTACTACTGGTACGTATCTGTCAATCATGGTATTTCAAGTTTACACCCAGTGTGATTACAAGTCTCTCCTACATTTTCCGAGTTATATAGGTAAGCTCATACTTCATTATTAACATTTGGTTATTGATAATTTTCATTTCAGGTTACCAGGTAAAGTGATAATTTGATATCAATCACTGTCATTTTATTAAAAGTTCCAATGAGGTTGTGTGGAGCAAAAGGTCGATTTACAAATTACGGGTTTGATTTTTAATTGTTTCTTATTAATTATTGACTACATAATTGAACTTGCAGTGTTAGTACACATTCTACTAGGAGCAGATAAATTTGGAACTTTCCTAACATTAAGCCTAACTTAGTCCTAAATAATGATCATAGTAAATCGTTAGTAGTAGAATAGATAATTTAGCTGCTACATTGCTAGTAGTACTATATTATTCATAGTACTATTAGTAGCCTAGTGCTAATACTATAATATAGTACTCATTAATAGTAATAGTAAGTACTTGTAGTAGTAATGGTATCTACTTCGTTAGTCAGTCAAAGAACAAATGACAAAATTAAAACTCACACAACTGCTTTCACCGTTTTTAAAGTTACATTTGTCTTGTATTCGTTAAAAGCAGTAGAGACAAAACAACAAAATGTTAGTCCTGCTAAAACACTTAAGGTGAAAGCAAATATTGCATTAGCTCTTGATAATAAAGTATTCATGCTGGTAAAACTTCAACGTCTTCGAGTTGTTTCCCCACGTTATCAATAATACCTTCGCTACGTCAGCTTATGAATCCAGAGTACACTAAAACTCGAAGTGAAATTGTGTGCTGAAATTAAAAATAATATTTATTGACTGACTCAAAATTAGAAAAGGTTTTACAATAATAAAAATAAAAACATAACGCATAGTAACAAGTAACCAAATAAAACTGACATGAAAAAGACATTCAGATATGAACATTAATTACACCAAAATCTAATAATCAGGAACATGAGAAAACATAATTATGAATAACTTTTAAATAAAAAAATTCTAACATAAATTAAAATGATATATACTTTAAACGTACTAATTGTTGAAAACATAAAAAGCAATGCCAAATTTAATTACAGAGTAGTGTTCTCAAGTACAACACGGAGGTCGCAATATGGAAGTTTTGGAAAAATTTGCTTGCAGTGGTACAGGATAGTACTGTTACGTCTCTGGTCGTTTGTTAATTTCCCGTAAAATTTCTTTCGGGTGAAACTTTAGCGACACAGGTCCTTTCTTAAATAAAACTAGTTTATTCTTTCTCAATACAATTTTGCAATACACTTAATTTCCACATTCACTTTATCTTAAACACACGCTATAATTCACAACGATTCACGCACTTTACTTACGGTCACTACCGCGCTTGACTCAATTGTCCGTCTCTATCTCTGCCTATCTGCAATTATCTATGCCGTCACTTCTTGCCGGTCTTATATATACAAAATAGAGGGCGTTTGGCAAACACTTGAGCCTTCAGGAACCTTCGAGATAATCATTACGTGTTACCAGAGTCACGTGACTTCCGCTGTCGTAACAGTAGCATATTTAATTAACCTTTTAGTAAATATGTATACTTTTCGAACTATTCGTTTTCTTTCAGTTTAGTTTGGACGCAGAGAGTCGCTCAGGAAAACAATTCAACTTTCCTTATTCTGATGCACACGAGAATCGGATCCGCTAATGTGTTCCCTTACACGGAAGATCTTTGTTACTTCTCAGCTGACACATGACGTTTCTACAATGTTGCTGAATAGTTGTGCAATGGTAAAATTGACAATGTCATGCATTATATTGTTACGTCTCTGGTCGTTTGTTAATTTTACGTAGAAATTCTTTCCGAAAAACTTCAGCGATACAAGTCCTTTCTTAAATAAAACTAGTTTATTCTTTCTCAATACAACTTTGCAATACAATTAATTTCCACAGTCACTTTCACTTCAACATACGCTAGAATTCACAACGATTCACACACTTTACTTATGGCTTGACTCGATTATCTGTCTCTATATCTCTCTGTCTGCAATTATCTCCCCCACTTTATTTGCCAGTCTTATATATACAAAATAGAGGGCGTCTCAAACCTTCAGTAACCTTCTAGATACTCATTACGTGTTACCAGCGTCACGTGACTTCCGCTGTCGTAACACTGCCCTTCCTTAGTATTGTTCATCCCGAACAATAGCCACTTAAATTAAACCAATAGATAATTAACAATAACTTAATTAACTGTACAGAATTTACAAACACAAAATTAAAATTCAACAAAGTCTCTAAATTTTACGGGACGTATCTTCTTCTGTACTGGTCTCCGTCTCGTTGGCTTCTGCTTCACGTGAGGTTCATCTGCTCCATCAAGAAATGTCCTATTATCGGTAACAGTCACATCAGTGGTGGTAACTTCATCAAGGGCTTCACTGTTTCCCTTCTCAAAACCGAGTAGAGTTTCTTCTTTGACAGTGGCTTTTTCAGGTGACACATATTTAGCAGCATCATTGGTTCCATTGTTCACTTCGTTCCAACTGAAATGTCCTGGGCCGTGATAATGTCAAAGCCTGTTGGCATGCACCACCTTTGGCTTACCTCGCCGACCACATTTTATCCGGAAAGTAACGTGTGAGAGATGATCCACTATGTTATATGGGCCTTCCCATGGAGATGACAACATAGGAGACTTCCCTTTGGTCTTCCTGGGATT